GAATAGAGTCGAAGTCGGAGTTTCTTGTTCTGCCTGTTGTGTGCGTTAAACCCAATTCGATGTCGTCTTATATGATCGTTGCGAACATAAAAGCTCCAGAGGTATCTATGTGATATAATAGAATACAGAAATACAGTGTGCAGACTGATGTTATCGAAGTATTTCCAATTGCCTATTGTTCTCGTTATATGTCCTTCGAAGTCGTCCTATATGGTCAGTGCGATCGTAACCATTATAACTTCAGGCATTCCAGTTGCTAGAACGCAAAGTAACAGTGTGAACATAGCCGAAGTCGAAGTTTCTTGTTCTGCCTGTTGTGTGCTTATACCAGCTTCGATGTCGTCTCATATGATCGTTGCGACCTGATATGCTTCGAAGGTATCCATGTGAGATGATAGAATACTGATATACAGTGTGCAGACTGAAGTTTTCGGAGTATCTTCACTTGCCTATTGTTCTCGTTATGAGTCCTTCGAAGTCGTCTGACATGGTCAGTGCGATCGTATCTGCTATAACTGTAGGCATGTGAGATGCTAGAACGCAAAGTAACAGTGTGAACATAGTCGAAGTCGAAGTTCATTGTCCTGCCTGTTGTGTGCGATATGCCCGATTCGATGTCGTCTCATATGATCGTTGCGAACTACCAAGCTCCAAAGGTATCCATGTGAGATGATAGAATACAGTGATACAGTGTGCAGACTGATGTTGTCGAAGTATCTTCTCTTGCCTATTGTTCTCGTTATATGTCTTGCGAAGTCGTCTTATATGGTTATTGCGATCGAATCTGCTATAGCTGTAGGCGTGTCAGACGCTAGAATACGGAGTGACAGTGTGAACATAGTCGGAGTCGAAGTTTATTGTTCTGCCTATTGTGTCCATTATACCCGCTTCGATGTCGTCTCTTATGATCGTTGCGAACATGTATGCCCCAAAGGTATCCATGTGAGATGATAGAATACAGAGAAACAGTGTGCAGACTGATGTCGAAGTATCTCCACTTCCCTATTGTTCCCGTTATATCTCCCTCGAAGTCGTCTACTTTGGTCAGTGCGATCGCATCTGCTAGAGCTGTAGGCATGTCAGATGCTAGAATGCAAAGGTACAGTGTAAACATATTCGAAGTCGAAGTTTCTTAATCTGCCTGTTGTGTGCGTCATCCCCGCTTCGATGTCGTCTTATAGGATTGTTGCGCAATGATATGCTCCAAAGGTATCCATGTGGGATGATAGGATACAGAGATACAGTGTGCAGACGGATGTTGTCGATGTATCTTCACTTGCTTAATGTTCTCGTAATATGTCCTTTGGAGTCGTCTTATATGGTCAGTGCGATCGTATCTGCTATAGCTGTAGGCATGTCAGATGCTAGAATGCGGAGTTACAGTGTAAACATGGTCGGAGTCGAAGTTTCTTGTTCTGCCTGTTGTGTGCGTTATACCCGCTTCGATGTCGTCTCATATGATCGTAGCGAACTGTTATGCTTCAAAGGTATCCATGTGAGATGATAGAATACAGATATAAAGTGTGCAGACTGAAGTTTTCGAAGTATATTCACTCGCCTATTGTTCTCGTTATAAGTCCATCAAAGTCCTTCAAAGTCGTCTTTGGTTGGTCGTCTATGGTCAGTGCGATCGTATCTGCTATAACTGTAGGCATGTCAGATGCTAGAATGCGGAGTTACAGTGTAAACGTAGTTGAAGTCGAAGTTTCTTGTTCTACCTATTGTGTACGTTATCCGCGTTTCGATGTCGTCTTATAGGTTCGATGCGAACTGATATGCTTCGAAGGTATCCATGTGAGATGATAGAATACAGAGATACAGTGTGCAGACTGATGTTTTCGAAGTGAGTGACAAGTGTATGTTTTTCGCCCGAAATTCGATAGAAATCAAGACGATCAATGGAGAAGTCTCTTCACATTGTAACTCAAAATTGCCTCTTTTTGAGTCCCGATATTCATATTAGTAGTGTATCAGGGGCGGTCCTGCGACAGTTTGGTAAGCTGTCCATCAAGTTCTCAAGCTGTCACAGCCAATAGGGGGGTTTAGTTGTGGTTTGTGCAGACATTCCGAGGTGCAGAAGTGTCGATAATGGACCAGGAGGTGTTGTCACCGAAGATTTACCTTGTCACCTGTTTTTTTCTACCTGTCTTCCCTGTGTCACCTACTTAATTAATTGTTTTTTGCTCAAATCACCTGTTTTGCCTAATTTACTGGTTTCACCTTCTCAACGTGTCCCCCTGTATTGAATCTTTCACCTGTATCACCTGTTTCTTTCATTTCACCTGTTTCACCTGTTCACCTGATCTTCCCCTCGGATATATTCTCCAAGTTAGTCCTACTGAATATTCCTGTATAATCAGAGTTCCAATATCTTGCTAGCTGACCTAGAGGTCAACACTTTTATCATGTTTTGTTTGATATGAGTGCAATCATTAATATTATGTTTATCCAGCTTCACATTATATTTTTTCAATGTCATGCTGACAAAGTAGTCATGTGCAGATATTTTTACAAAATATTTGTTGATCCATCATCCTAGGATAGTATAAAAACTGTGATTTTATTATGCTTCAACATCAGGTGAATTGTGCAGTGGAAAAATGAAAATTGATTGGTAAGTGAGACTAATGATAACTCATAAAGATTGTGATTTGTTTATTGGTATAGGCTATGTGATTTTATCATCAGAATAGCTATTATTTGTTTGGGTTTATGATCATGAAATGAATCCGAAACAGTGGGATAGGTCAATATTTATTTATTAACTATAATACAACACGGTATATGATTTTTGTTGGGAGAACATACAACTACACTACAATATTTTTATTACATTAGTGAGAGGGTTGTACCTTACTAGACGATCATGTAATATTAGACAATAGGCAGAAGTGTTTGCAGGAATATTTTGATTTGTTTCAAACTCGAGGCAAATATCCACACTACCTGCCTTCAAAGTTTCGTTTTGTCGACTACAATCTATTACAATTAATGGTGCTATGTCATGAAATTTAGATAGTGTTAGACAAGGTTCACCAGAGTTTTTGTAGTGATATGACTCTTGAAATCGTGCATACATCTCATATATAACAGAAAATTGATATTTATTGAAATTTAGATTCAAATTCTCATAGGGATACACTTCAGAGTTCAGGTAAAGTTTCATATTGGCGAGATTACAGTGATCGAATTGACTCTTATTTTTTTGACTGTCATTTTCTCTGTTTGTTTGGAAACCAACAATAACAAATCTCGGTTTTTCCATTTGACTAGATGCTTTGACATTCCATGAGTGACGCATAGTTGATTGTAACATGGAAAATTCGTGGAGTTCTCAGGAACGCAAGGCTATCTCTAAATCTCCCCCCTTTTCAATATACCTGATTAACCGCAATTTCTCCACATCTGCCGTTTGAACGTGTGGAATGCGCCATAGAATTGCCTTGGGGGTTATCGTAGGATTGATGTCATTGCTACTTCTGATGAGAACAAGTTCTTGCCGAATATTCACCAGAATTTTCTTGAAATCTTCGCAGAATCCCAATAGATGTTTGAGTGGTAGACAAATGCTAAAGTTCCCTTGAAGATCAACAATTTCCGGATGACCAAGATGATTCCAACCAGCATTTATATATCTATTGCATTTATTATTTGTATAAGAAATGTAGCCCTTCATAGCTGATGTGATTCCAGGATTACGAACTCGATCCACAACGGACCCACCAATTTTATATCGGATTTAATCAAATAGAAAAGCAATACCATTGTTGATGAAGTTCAGTGTAGCACTCACTTTATCTCCACTGTCAGTAATTCTGCCTTCTAGATAAATGTGACTTCGTGATGGTAATGTGTGAATATCCTGCGTTTGAATCGGAACACGTATCTCGAATGACTTATTTAGGCTTGTATTGGCATATGGTGGATGAGAGTGCATTTCGCAATTCGTTATCGCATTGTGCATCATCACATGTTCACCAATATTCAGGATATTGAAACTCATGTTTGTTGTGTTTCACTTTTTCTTCCACAGGAACACCTTAGGAGAATGAGAAATCTTCTAAGACCAGAGTTGATGTCCAATTTTAGGTTATACCAAAATTCGTAAAAAGTCTTCGTTTTGTCTTTTATAATAATTTGAAACCGAGTGAAATGAGGAACTGTTGATTCTCAGGTGTTAACTGTTCGATGTCACCTTTCGGACTGATACTTTTGATTGATGGAGAACGCGTTTCCTGACCCATTGTTGATGATGACATTGGAATATTATAGCGAAACACCATATCCACTAGAGCTCTTTCAAGTGCAACCTGACTGTTATGACTTCCTTTTGGAAATTAATTAAGGTTTCAGTTTGATCTACTACTCTGAGAATTATTTCATCAATGTATTTGGAATTGATTGGTAGATAAATGACATTTGACACTTACTCCACTATTCGAAATCCACTAGGCACTGATGGATAGAACATGTGCAATGTGTGAACGGAAGAGTTATTATTATATGAATTTGTTGTTGAATTACATTCAACACACACTGAATTTACCTTGGAAATATCAATTGGAAAATCTGATATATGTTTTTTATTAGCTTCCAATTTCTTCTTGCTGAAACCTAACAGAGTTGCTATCGAGTAAGGTTTATCAAAGTGTATGAGTTTGTTGCATGTTATCTCATACCTCAGAGTATTACGATTAGCATTCAATTTGAGCTGAATCTCGGTAGTTTTCTCCTCTTCTTTTATAATAGTATTCGAAATTCGAGCTTTTTTCCCTCCTCCTCTCTATCTTTCTCATGCAATTCATCCAATTGCATCATAATATTCCGTTCAATGTCTTCAATTTCATAGGAACCTTCAGGAATAACCAATGTGTGTTTGCCAACATAGAATCTGTTATTTCTCCCATCAATATTGGGGATAGTGTTGTAGGTCACGAAGTCAATCAGACCTAAGACATGGGTTTTATCATCATCTAAAATGATAGGTGGATGGATTTCAGCTGATAATACAGAATCTCTGGCTGATAAGGTGAAAGTATATGAACACGTCATGATAGTGATAGAGTCATTGAAAGAATGAGATAAATTACGCTTATATTTTATTGAGAGAGAAATGTCAAACATAACTGACCGCAATTCACAGAATTGAAAGTTTGATATACAGTGTGATTATATAAAATATTACAAGGTCCATTGGAATTGAAGTAATCTAAAGTTTCCAGTGGTGGTCGCAGATTACCATAGCTATCAAGATAGACGATTTGTGATCCAATTTTTTTGTAGGCGGTCCAATGCGTCCCCGGTCCATCTTTTTTATTCAAGTTTATCACGCCACGTTCTTTCCTTCTGATTCTCTTGGGAAGATCATTCCTCATAAATACACCCCTAAAATGGGGAATGTTGAGTTCTTTAACGTACTTCAGAATATCCAAATTGGATAGTGGGAAATTGAGTGGTATCCTCTTACGAGATTCCCTATGTTTATTCATCCTCATCTTGTTGATATTAGGATAATACTAGGATGGTTATCTCAAAAAAAGTCCCAAACCAGTTTTATATGGTCTCAAATACATCCCTTTTCCCATTGCAATAGCTTCCATTGTTTTATTATGTCGTTGGTATTCTCCCAATTGATTTTTGCTGATCTGGCATCAGTGACAGCCTTAGCTACACCTGCAGCGCCACCTGTGATTGCCCCGAGAGCACTCAATCCCGCGAAAATCGGAATCAAGGGTAACAAGCCACCCCTCTTTGGAATTTTAACAATACGTGTTGGTTTTATGTTGAGTTTCTTCGTTGACCTTGGAGCAACCTTGACTGCATCACCTACAGTCTTAGGTTTTTGGGAGATGATATGCTTTTTATTTTGTCCGATTGCTTTGGCGAAGCATACCCCCGTTTTTATTAGTTTCTTCTTGATATTCCTCTTTTTATTATTCCTACGTTTAGTATTCCCTTTGGATCTCTTGCGAGCCATCTGAACTGTAGGATACTCTCTCGTATACTGACTTTTTCTTTTAATCCTTATGAAAATTAGGTGAATTTGAGTTTCTTATTTCCGAGATCGTTGCTATCTTCCTCTTCTATCTCTGTATCCAAACTTCTCTTTCTAGAATTTGTTGTTGTGATATCTAATGGTTCACTCATATCACTTGAATGAGTGTCCCCCTTATCATCTAATGTTCTCAATCTCCTTTTCGCCTTTACCCCTATAGATATTCTCAAATTTCAATCCATTCTTATGTTCGAGAAGATTGATCATAACATTGGTCTTACCGCAGTTTGAAGGACCTACAATAATACACCTCATTGTATGTGGAAACAATATTCCATGTTTTTTTAATTTCTCATTCCCCTCGAATATATTATCTTCGATATTCAGAGCCTTTTTTGTGGAACAACTTTTATTTCATGAATAAAAAATAGTTTATCTCCGATATTTAATGATCAGTTGCTTTCTGTATTTCACTGAATGAACACACACACACAAATGCCACGCTACTATTCAGGTGATGGGCTTTTGAAAACTGTCATAAATAAACTACCTTTCGAGTTACATATACCTGATGGATATAGATTCTGTGGTCCTGGGACAAAATTGGAAAAAAGACTCGCTCGAGGAGATGAAGGTATAAATGAATTAGATGAAGCTTGCAAGGAACATGATATAGCATATTCCAAAGAAAAAGATCTGAAACATCGTCATAAAGCAGATAGAATTCTGGCAGACAAGGCAATGGCTCAATTCAGATTGAAGAATAATTCCTATGGACAGAGATTAGCAGCTTTAGGCGTTGCTGGTGCTATGAAAGCTAAAGTGAAATTGGGAAAGGGAATAGGAAATCAAAAACAAAATCAAAAACGAAAATAACAAGCTGTCAACAAATGTCTGGTAGTTCTAAGAAGAACGAAGGTTATCTTAGAAAAATCTCTAGGAAATATTGAAAGCAGTATGCGAATCCTGAAGGAAGGAATTTCAACAAATAGAATTGTTAAACAAACTAAACGGATAGCACAACATAAAGAGATGAATAAAAAGAAGAAATCACAGAATGATGATGACGATAATGAAGGAAAGAAGGACTTGATGGATATTGATATTGCTGACGATTATCCCATGAATAAAAGATGTGCAAACAAGAGGAAATCGGATAACGATGATATCTCAGACACTATTCCTGATAAGAAGCCTGAAAATGTGGTCGGTGATATGATCAACCGTAGACAAGAGGTAAAGGCGAAAAGGAGATTGAGAACATTAGATGATAAGGGGGACACTCATTCAAGTGATATGAGTGAACCATTAGATATCTTGAAGACAACTAGAATAATTCCATTCTAGGATGAGATATGCCGAATTTCCCAATGTGTTGTTGTTGTTGTTGTGGTTTGTAGTTGGATGATTCTCTTTAGAAAATTTCAAATCTGCATACTTTGAAGCCCATAAATCTGCCTCTATTTTGAATCCTGAACTCACTGTCATACATGCTGCCAAATCCGATCTGATTTTGAGTAATTCAGTGTTACCATGATTTATGTGAACCTTCAATTCTTCCGTACAATTATGAATCTCAGAGTTGCACTTGACTAATTCTTCCTTTGTTCTATTCCATCCATTTTCACATTGATCACAATTATTTTTTACAGCAGTTCCAGACATTGATGTTGTTCTCCAACTCAGTTTTTTCAAAAAAGTTCTATGCCTGTCCGCCAATACTCCAGGGTATGCCATAAGACTTGAAGTGGGAAGAGTAAAAATTTCCTATAATATATTCAAGCAGGTTTTGAATTGGCTCATCAAATTACTTGAAATGAAAGATGATCGTCTCCCCAGACTATGTTTTGAAAGGCTTCTCAACCTCAAAAATACTACAGACATAAGATACAATTGGACCCAGCAAGTCCTCCAACATCTTGAATTTGCAAACTTTCAACTACCTTTGTCCGAAATCACTGGCAGAATACTCCGTCAAAATAAAAAGACATTACTTTCCAGATATTTGACTCACCTACAAAATGAAGACCGTTCTCTGCTTACCCGCTCGACATTTTTGTCCCTCAACCAATATCTTACTTCTTCTCATGAAACTCAAAGTTACTTACATATGAAGGTTTCACTGCAAGTTATTGGATCAATTTCACAACTCAGGTTAAGTAGTGACTATACTATAAAATTCTCATATCGTGGCTCAACATATCGCATAAACCCAAAGGAAATATGTTCAGTGTGCAACAAGAATGAGTTCGAAACTATACAGCACATTATGTTCGACTGTCCTATTTACACTGCTATGAGGCCCCAAAATACTCCATTTTTGAAAACCATGAACAACTTGGCCGACACTCTCAACAATATCACGCCTTCTTCTGCTAAATCCATATCTGCCCATTTATGTAACATTGTGAAACTCCGCTCATTCATTATGAATGAGTGAAGTACTAATGTTCATATTTCCCTTCCTACAAGATAATTCAATCATTATAATATTGTTTCCCTTGTCTTAGTCATACCTACTTGCTACTGTTACTACTACTTCTTACTTTTGCTCTGTTTTCAAATATATTATTCGCTGAATTGTTAATTGTTGTCCAGTTATATATCAAGTAGGTCGTTCATCAAGGTTGGCCTTATCTAGTTTTGGATAGATACGTTAGTACTCTGCTTTTAAGAACACAAACTATGTACAATGCACATCTTCAAATAGGTTGCTTATTTCTTACTTATAAAATACCGGACGTAAATTTTGTACTTATATAGGTATACAATTACAAGTATAGGAATTTGATATAACTGTGTAAACTCCTTGTTTATAAAACTGTAAGTTTTTAGAAAACAATAAATGGATTGATTGATTGATTGACTATTGTTGAGACCATTTAATCTACTAGTATCCATATGCTCAGAATACAATTTAATTCCAGGATATTTTTTCAAGAGATTGTTGTAGGTTATCTGTAGAGATGACATATTGGGCATCTCATGGTGTATATACTCCCATTTTGCGGTTGATATTCAGAGTACAACTTTCCAGTTGATATTTCAGTGTGCGATTGGTTCATTTGCCTGCATTGTGCATAATGTTTTTCCAAGTTCTCCTAGTATTTAAAGTGATTCAAACATCGATCACATAGCCACTTTTTATGTGACGAATTCCTAATTGTCTGTTAAGTAACTTGTTCAAATCAGTGATATAAGCAAAGTGGAACGATTTATTATGCAACGTACGTTCAGAAGGCTCCTTCTCCTCCTCCTCATCATCATCATCATCATAATCATCATCTCCATCTCGATCATCAAGTTCATTACATGATGGTACCATAAGTAGATTGACCCTTTTATCATAATTTGTGCTACTCAAACATATTGGTAATACTTCAACTTTCCTTCTTTTTTCTCCACTCATAGTGAACACGTTAACAAAAATATCATTCATTATTTCAAATTTTCTAATGTCTTTCAATTCAATAGGGAATTTGATACCATCATATTCCAAAACTTGACTGAAATGTGGATAAGATGATGTTCTATTAACATTTTTCCCTGGGCCTGCTGGATGTAGAGCACACACAATAGACCACAAAAAGCAATAGGGGTCCTTATTCTTTATATTGATGACACCTTTGCTGTGTTTGATAGCAATAGGTAAATCTACGTAAGAAGAAGAAATACCAACGTTTATGGGAAGATAGTGATTAATGTTCACCTTTAATTGAATAATTTGATATAGTGCCCAACCACTATCTCTCTCCTGAAATTCTTCCAGTGCAGTTGAAATCTTATTTTTAATATTATCATTGAACCACGACTTCAAATTTGTATTATTATCGATAATCTGATTTTTTGTGTTGAAATGCTTAATATCAGTTTCGAGAGTTTTAGGTTTAACGAAATTTCCTGAAAATGTAGCATTCACTTTCAAAAGAGACTTCTGTAATTCAGACTTGATTTTGAGTGAGAAGCATCGAAAACATTTTTCCAGAAAAGTTTTTGGATCTTTGGTATTTTTATTAATAATAGCACCAGTTCGAATTCTTTTATTGAAACATGAATCGATATCTTTCCACACTAAATGACGTTTT